GTTTCCTAATTTTCAGTGGTGTATCCGGGAGCCCACATGGGCTCTGAAGTGGGACTGGGGTCTTAGAAGTTAAGAATTGCCCTTGGAACAGGCTCTCCAGAGTGGGGGGTTTGAAACAGGGGAAGGCGGCCCCCTCTGACCTTGGCGATCTGGTCGAACTTGCCAAAGAGCTCGTTGAGCATCAGCACCAACTCCTTTGGGGAGCACTCACTGGCTAGCCGCGTGAAGCCCACGATGTCAGCATATAGCACGCTGGGCAGGGCAGACTGCAGTCAGTGGGGCCAGGGTCTCAGCCTATGCCCCCTCCCTGGCAGCCATCCTTGCCCATACCTGACTCCCTGGTGCCTCTTGACATAGAGGCTGTGGAAGTTGTTGGTGTTCTCTGGCCTCGACCCCTGTCCGGCCTGCAGCCGTGCCATGATCTCTGCCTTCATCTCTCGGGCCAAGTAGGCAGGGAGGATGGACAAGAGAAGGTGTTCCTGAGGGAGGTCACTATGAGAACCAGCTCTCCTGCATCCTAAAGCCAGGAACCCAGCTTCCCAAACCCCTAGGGGCCCACACCCTTCTCCAGCCCCACTAGGTGTTCCCCACCACTTATAGCTATGCTCCAGTGCCCCATCCTGCACTGATCACCTTTGGGGATTGAACTTCTGGCACCAATGCCAAACTTAGGATTCGTTTAGTGTCATAAGGTTCTAAAAGGCTTTGAAGAACTTCAGTATGTTTGAGCCTGCCAGCAACCTTCAAAGCTGGGCAACAGCTACTTTTGACAAAGGAAACAAATCAGGTGACCTGCTCAAAGTCATTTGGCTTGTGAAGGAGCCTGGCTGTGTGATTTAAGTAACCCTTTTCCAAGACCGGGCCCCTCCTGGCACGCGCCCCCCACCCCTGCCCCGACGGGCAGACCTGATGCTTCTTCTCAGTGTCCAGCCGCCGGCGCGAGTGCAGGGAACTAAGCGCCTCTCGGAAGGTGGCGCGCAGTGCACGCTCCATCAGTGCCTTGTGGTACACTCCGGCCACATTCCCGCACAGGAACAACACCGCGTTTGCTGCCAACTGTGGGTGAGGGTCAGCCTCAGGGGGCGCTAGACTCGGGTAGGGGTGGGGGTACCTCTGTGTGTAGCTAGAGTTGGTCTCCAGAGGGGCTGGGGAAGACACTACCGTTAGAGACCCAAGTTTTTGGAGGCAGTGAGCACCACACAGTGGGATCCATAGGTGGCGCTTCTCCTACCCACCCTTCCTCGCGCCCCGCCCCCTGCCCCCCACCCCGCCTTTCCCCAGCTCCAGACTCTTGGCTGCTGCACCAACGTGGTCTAGAAACCTTTGCACATACTTTTCCTCTGTCTGGAATACCAGCCTATGCCCCCTACCCAACCCCTACACACACAACAGCACAAAACTACTCACGCTCCAACTTTTGCAGTCTCTGTGACCGTTCTATCATGCACATCTGTTCCCACCACCCCTGTCTAACTTCCTTCCTCATGGGCGCAGAACCCTTTTCTGGTGTCTGCAGACATGGCCCTGCACCAGTGTACCAGCTACAAGGGGGCATAGTCTGGGTCTATCCATATGTGTGCCCTGTGTCCAGCGTTGCATCCTGCCATAGAGTCAGAGCTCAGCAAACTGCTGGTGAATGACCAGAAGAACAAAGTAGTGTCCAGCTGAGCTGGCCTTGGGGCACAGCCAGTGGTACTCCTGCGTGCTCACCTGGGGCAGCAGCGCGGGTCTTGAGTCCAGCTGAGGCCCAAGATACAGCCCGAGGACCAGCAGGTGTGAGAGTGACGAGGCAAGGCCGGCAGCGGTGGCGTCCCGCATGCCCAAGGGCAACATGGCATAGGTAGTGAAGATGACAAAGAGGAAAAAGGACACCTAGGGGAGGAGGAGTGGGAAGCTTCAGGCTAACACTGCCGGGCTGCTTGCTGCTGCGGTCCTGGGCGCAAGTTCGAGGTTCGGGCGTCCCTCTACTCCCTGCTCCACCCGCCACCCCTCTCACCTGGTCCCAGGCGCTCACCACGCCCCCAGTGAACAGGAAACCGTGGCCTAGAGCGAGCAGTGCTGCCCACACGAGGCCTGACAAGGGACGTGTCCAGCGCTGCAGTTGCTGCTCGCGAGAGGCCAGGCCCAGCAGCAGGGAGAAGCCACCCAGCGCGCAAAGCACCGTGGTCAGAAAGCCCGGATCTGAGGTCAGCTCCTGCAGGGAGGTGCGCGTGTGGAGTTTGGGGAGCTCGTTCAAGAAGAGAAAAAATGGGCAGCCCCTCATGCCAGTTCTGAAAAGTGTCTCAAACCCAGGTACAAAAAGGAGGCAGGGCACTTCCGCTTGCCATTCATATTAGGTTGAACCACATGAATCGCTGATCATCTGATTTTAATTTACAGAACTAGCACTCTCATAAAGTTCAACCTGATATCTCACTTGCATGCTGCAGAGGCGGTGGAGCCCTCGGCCATCTACCTAGAAGTTCTGACTCCAGCCTCATACCGGCCAGTTGTGTATCCGTGATCATTCTGAGCCTCAGTTTTCTCATATGTCAAACAGGAATCATAGCACCAGCCTGGGATCCGGCAGCAAGTGAAAAAATCTTAGCTCACAGAAGATGCTTAGAAATGAGCGCATCCAAATCTGGCCAATTTGCTCAGGAGATTCCCTGCCCCAGGCGTACGGCTCGGAGTTTCCGGGCCCTGCGAAGCAGTGCTCTGGCAGCAGGGGGCGCCAGAAACCTCCCTTGCCCCCAGGGGCTGTATTCTCGCCACAGCCTCTGGGCGTAGAAGTCCTGCTTGTGTCTTCGCCCTTAGTCCCACCTCTTCCTGGACTTTGAGGTGGATGAGCAAGGACTGATGGAGTCCAGTGAATTTTTCCCACCTTGCCTCAGAAGAGTGTAAAGGAAACTTGAAGGAGGATGTTTCCAGAAACGGATTTAAAAACTCCTTTTCTCCCTCCAAAAGAAACTGGAGATTGGTTTATTTTGGGACTAAATGAGAGTGGATGGAAGGTGATTTCTGGGAGTCTGTGGGTACAACTGCCCCGCAGCCCCTTAGACGGAAAGAAAACCAGGAAACGGATTCCCACCGGGCCCAGTGTAATTCCCCCCCACCCTGGAAAATGGGAAAATCCGGTGTTGAGTGTTGGATTTATCCTAGAACTAGTAGATCACAGAAGCTCATAAGGTCTGTCAGTACCCTGAGAGAAATCAGAAGCACCCAGGTCTCAGATACCTCCCTGTGTTGACCCAGAGACTGTGTGGCCCAGAGACGTGAAATGACTTGCTCAGGGTCTCTGCAGAAAGGTTCAGCACTTCTTTCCCGGGTCCCAGCAAAGAAGGCACATCGGAAGGAAGACCGCGCAAGCCTCAGCACTGAAAATGCCCCCTGGACAGTGTCCCTCCCACCGGCATTGCAGCTCAGGCACCAGGGGCCCTGGCTCACCCTGCCGCTGGCCGAGGCGACAGCAGGCAGGGCCAGGAGCGCGCAGAGCACGATCACCAGCAGCTGCAGCAAGAGCGGGTACTGCTGGCTCAGGCTGTAGTAGGTCTCGTAGAAGAGGTCTTCGCTGGGCGGCGGCCGGGGGCTGAAGAGTCGGGCCATGGCCTCCCCTGGTCCCGCGCTGCACCGCCGGAGGGCAGACCCCGGGGCTGGGGAGGGCCGTTGCCGGATTACTGCCAGCAGGCCCCAGCCAGCCCCAGCTGTGTGTGCCCCTCTCACCTGGTACCAGCCACTGCCCTCCCCGCCTCGCGGGAACCCATCTCCTTCCAGGCACACCCTGTAGCTCCCAGTGTTCTCCCAAGTTGGCGGTGCGGGCACTGCCCAGTCCTTCGCTCCTCACCCCTCAAACCCGGACTGCGGAGGTACCCGAGCAAAAGCCTCAGCTCCAGGAGAACAGGATTTAAGGGGGAAGCAACCGAGCTCCGGGTTCCCTCTATTCCCCAACTCACCGCCTGGGAGGCTGCTGCAGCTGAGGTTGCTAGGCCCTGGGCAGGAGCCCGGGGGCTAGTTGCGGAGTCTCTGCTCGCTTATAAGTTAGTGGCGCAGAGCCCCGGGCGACAGGCGCTTCCCTCCCGGTGCCTCGGCCCCCTCCCACTTCCCCGACGAAACAGCCCGGCCCTTCCCGTGCCTGAGCGGGACTCCCCAGGCCCCCTCCCCCACTCTAATTGTTTCTCCTGACACTACCGCCTTCCCCGTTCAGCCCACTTGAGGAAGGAGAATGTGGACCACCGGAGAGATGCGTGGGGTGGGCCTACTCAGTGGCAAGTGTTAAAACAGAAGTGGAACGCGTGGATGCGGGGAGGCTGAGGGAGCGCTGGAGTGAAGGCTGGAGAGAAAGTAGGGATCAACAGTGGTACTAGATGCGGGGTAGGACCTAGGTCAGGATGGGGGCAAGCGCTCATTCCCTCCTCCACCCCAAGTGCCTGGACAGCAACAGCTGCGGCCCCAGCTGAACTGTCCACTCTCCCGCCATCTCCAGTTCCGTGGGAGGGGACATGCCTGTGGTTGCTTTGGGGAGCCATAGCTTTCCACTCCCAGACACAAGCTGAGAGCCAAAAGGCTCCTACCTCAAAAGTAGGTGTGGTGGAGGAAGTGTGATAGTATGGGGGCTAATTCCGAGAGACTGGAGGGGTCTCTCCTGCAGGGCGCAAGATGGGCTGGGGTCTGCAAATTTCCATGGGTACCTCCCTCCCTAGGACCCCACTGCGGAGTCTCTGTAGCCCAGGAGAAAATGGAGGGGGCATAGTGGTACCACAGCATCTATCCCCACAGTTCGGGTTTAGGGTGGGGGCTTGCCCGCTCTAGAGGAAGTGCTCTGCCCTGAGATTAGAGTGGGGCCCAGGAGCCAGGCCTCTGTGATTCCTGGATTCCTTCCTGCCACCGGCTGGGCCCTGACCTCATGTGCCATGACATTGCCCACCCCCAGGCCTCTGCACTCCTCTTCCTGTGTAAGTGAGACTGCAGTGCCTCCTCCACCCTTAGCCTCCTGCATAGTACTTTGGTTAAAATTGCCCTGCTTTATTGATGGCTGAGGGCACAAAGTTCCAGTGCAGGGTCTCATGGCCCTCAGAGAAAGTCTTGGTCAGCTGCCTCAAGTCCAGGAGGCAGTTTAGAGGCTTCCTCAATTCTGTTGTTATTATACTGGCCCTGTGACCCAGTCCAGGCGTCAAGTTCTTGTGGCACTTCTTTCAAGGCTACTTGTGGGGGGCATACTGACTGCCCCTCCCCCTGCCCTGAGGTGGCAGTTTCCATGTGGGAAAAGCAGTTTCTCTCGGTATCTGCATGTAGTTGTTGTTTCCAATCTGCACCCATTTGCTGTCTTGGATGATGTTAAAGTGCGATGGCCCTTTAAGAGAAACAGCGGTGTTGCTGTGAGGGTTGAGTGGTCAGCAACTCAGTTAAGGGGAGAAGCAGAGTGGAGGGGCAGCGGCACCTCGTGTTCACCCTGGGGAAATGCAAAGATGGGGTCTCAGAACCTCCCAGTGAAGGTGTCGGATGTGCCTTTGCCTTTCCCCTGCTGGCTGCCCCTTCAGAACGGGGTGTGTAGAAGCTCAACAGTGGTGGCAGCTGATGTTTCTGACCCTGACATTTGGTTCTTTTCTGTTGGGAGGCCCTCTGGACTAACATAGCAACAATGGAATTGGGGGGGTTCATAGAGCTGGCGCTGGGGAGCCGGGAGGCCCAGGGACAAGTCCCGGCTTTACTGTGACTTCAGCAGGATCCAATCCCCGTGGGTGCCAGTTTTTTCATTTATTAAATAAGAAGGTGTGGGGTAGATGGCCTCCAGTCCTTTCTCTCCTGCTTTCCCCCAAGGTACCCTGAATCTCTATATTGTCTTGAGGACAGAGCCGGTAGAGGAGCTGGGCTGGGGAAAAGGAGTGGGAGGTGGGTACCTGGTGTTGGATTTGGCTCTGGCTCCTCGGGAGGCCGGCTGGTGCCACATCTCTCAGCCCCCTGTGAACGACACAGTGCTCTCAGGCTCACTGTCCTGGGGTTTGTTTCCAGACCATAGCCCCTAGGCCCCAAGTTTTCCCTGGAAAGGGGACAGGTTTTGCATCCCCTAGTCCTGCCAAGGTCTCACCTGATTTCCCTGGGATCCAGGACCTGGCGTCCTAGCTGAGGTGGGGTTGGGCATCTGGTTTTTGAATGATGAGGTCTCTGAAGTTGAGGGAGGCTGGGTTGTTGATTCAGAAGACATTCCTGCTGTGCAGGTACGCTGAACCTGCTCTTTCCATGCCTCAATCCTCTCAGGAAGGTTTGCACATTTTTCAGGAACAGAACTGGGGGACCCTTTCAGATTCAGTTTGTCCAGCATGTTGGAGGCCATGATGGAATCAAGGTTTTCTGTGGCTCCCCCGGGACCATCATTTTCTGTTTCTACTGGGCCTGGCTCAGGGGCAGACAACCTGCTGTTGCTGTTCCGGTGCTCAGACAGGAACTTCTTTACCTGCAAGGACAGGGAGAACTTGCTGGGCATGGAGGTGGGAGAGCCAGAGTAAATAAACCCAAGGACGGAGTCTCTTGGTCCATAATCTGTTGCCTAGGAATTCAGGAATGCGGTGGGGAGATTGCGGTGAGGGTCAAGGCGTAAAGAACAGTGGTCAGTAGGGAGTTGCTGGGTGGCTAAGGGAGCCGTGAGGTGCCGTTTCCGCCTAGGTCTCAGGTTGGGTTTGGTGTTGGCCACTCACCGTGGAGACGGCAGCATCCATCTTTGTACCATCGTTATCTCCACTTTGTACCAGGCAGAGGGCTCCCTCAGTGTCCGGTCTGCATTCTGGAGAGAAGGCAGAGTGAGTGGCTGGTGAGCAAAACTTTTTTCCCAGGGAAAGTGTCCTGTTGACAGATCCAGGCTCCGCTCAGCTGCCAGTTAAATGGCTAGCTCACCTTGGAAGGAAGGCCTGCCCTTGGGCTCATGGCTCCAGCAGCGCTTCATTAACTCCACCAGTCTTTCCAAGCCTGGAGTCTCAGGGCCAGGCCGGGGCAGCGCTGTCAGGGGGGGCTGGACCTTCCTGTCACACACGGCTCCCTGCACCAGTGATGTCGGGGTCGCTGTTGATGTTTGGGGTGGGGGCACAAAGAAAAAGCATTTAGGGTAGGAGGGGCCACCTGCTCTATCATGGAAAGGGGCAGAGAGTGTAGTCCAAGGGGAGGTGAAGAGGGAGTAGGACGGTCTGAGCAGGTGAGCAGAAAGAGGAGGGCTTGGGGACTTTCAGGAGAAAGGCACCTGGGGTTAAGGACCACAGAGTCTGCTTAATGTCTTACCATCAACTTCTCTTCCTGCGAGCACTGCCCACATCAGCATCCCGAAGCTGCAGGAGACACAAAGGTGAGGCCAAGCCCAATCTGGCGAAACTCCTCTCTAGTACACCTCTCCCTAGAAGGCCCCGGAGAGGTGTAAAAATTGGGAACCTGTGTTTGGCATGGGTACGTTACCTGTAGACATCACTGGCCATAGAAGGCTTCTGATTCACATTAGCCAACAGTTCTGGGGCCAAGTAGGCTAGGGTGCCCGCTAACACCCCAGGCCCTGTCCCTGACCTTGAGCCCCCCAGAAATGTGGACAGGCCAAAATCTGCCAGCTGCAAAGGAAGGGAAGGATGGAGTTAGGCAGCTTCCAGACTCTCCTTCTCTCCCTCACCCCAAACCAGATCCAGCCTTGTGAAGGGGGTGTGGAGGGTTAGGGGAACAGTGGGACCAATGGGGGCCTTGGTTTGGGGGTCTGGGTCCCCTCTCTACTGGGCTGGGTCAAGGTCTGAGTTTCCTGAGCTGTCAGCCGTGGGTCTTTGGAAGGTGTAGTCGAGTGGTCAGGGCCTCTGTCCCTTGTGGTAGAGGCTAATGCTTCTGGGTGGGCCTTGACACTTGGGCAGCCCTTTGTCCAGAGGAGGATGCTGAGGGTAGCCAGTAGACAGGATTGTAGCAGACGCTACAGTGGGTGGGGCTGGAACAGCTCTGGGCCAGGGCCTTGCCCAGAGGCTGAGCTGGGGTGTGGTAGGCTGACCTTGGCGTGCAGGTCTGAGTCCAGCAGGACGTTGGAGGGCTTCAGGTCCCGGTGCAGCAGCACAGGATCCTGGCTGTGCAGGTAACACATCCCAAGCACAATCTCTTGTAGCAGGCGGCAAATAAGTGGCCAGGGCCGAGGACATTGGGGCTGCAGCAGCCCCGCCAGGGAACCATACTCCATGAATCGAGTCACCAGAGCTGGCCCAGACGTGTAGTCCCATTCCAGCCTCTCAGTGACCCCCAGCAGTGGCAGCACGTCCTCGCTGTGCAGACTTGCCATGGCCTTCACCTCCTTCGATATTCCCTCCCTATATTCCAGGAAAGAGCTGGGGTCCCGCTCTGATCCCTCCCTTCCCCATTCAGGCCCCCAAGGACAGTGGCCCGCCCCCAAGGCGAGACACTGGCCAGCCAACAGCTGGGGCACTCACGAGTTCACGATCTTGACCGCCACATCACGACCCCATTTCTCATGTCGTGCCAGGAACACTGCGCCGAACCCACCTTCTCCAATGAACTTCAGTTTCTTTAACACTTCAGTGGGCACCAGGGGGGCCTGGGCACCCTTGAGCCTGAGAGAGGGGGCCTTGTCACCAGCTGGCCTTGGCCCTGAGTTCCTGCTGCTCCCTGTCACCCCTCCCCACCGTGACACCTGTGACTCAGCAGGGTCTGTACAATCCACAGCCTCCCCTGTGGGTCCCGCTGTCCCCTGGCCTCAGCCCAGGCACAGGGAGGTCCCCGAGCAAGTCCAAAGGGCATCCTGTGTCTAATTCCCCACTCACCATAAGTTGCTGCAGGACATCAGGCTGGAACGTGTGAGTTCACAGGAAATGACTGACTTCTGGAAATGGGGTTTCTGGTAGAGAGGGGTCTTGGGGTGGGGAGAAAGGTCAATCTTGAGGCCACTTAAGCGCCTTCACAGATTCTACTTCCTTACCCTGAGTGACTGAACAACTTTCTTTTTCAAGAACTGCCCTGGAGCCTCTAAAGTTCCGCCTGTCTGTGTAGTCCCGCCCCAAAGGGGCTGGGCAGAACGGAAGCTTATTGCTTGTCTTTTCTTTTTCTTTCCTCTTATTTAATGTAATCTTTATTGTATTTTTTTCCATTACAATTTAGTCCCTTTATCTCCCACACCTCCCAGCAATTGTTTGTCTTTTCTAATTAGCTTTTCCTCGAGCAACCTGCTATATACCACAGCCTGTTTAGGCATCACTGGCATTTAGGATGCCAGGGAGGAGCCCTCACTTTCCAGGAACCCACTCCAGCAGCTGGTGTTTCTCCTCCCACAGGGCTCCCAGCTCCACCACCTTCCAGGCCCGAGCTGGAGCTGGCATGGTGCTGAGGAGGATTTTATGGTCCGAGGGCTCAGCTCTCCCACTGGCACCCTAAGATCATACCTAACACTTCTGTAATGCATGCCATGTGCCAGGTTCATATATGAGCTTATTTAATTCTTACATCGACCTTAAAGTCATAAGTACTGCTTTCATTAGTTCTTTATGGATAAGAAAATGCAGGCACTGATAGCTTACCTTGCCCAAGTCAGTGTGGGACTTCAGAGCCCAGCTCCAACCATCAGGCCTTCCTATTTTCACATAGGCTTTAGGACTGTACCGCTCAGTTGGTGGTGGAAGTGGCTGAGGAAGGTGTGAAGAGCCCGACAGTGTGCTGAAGGGCCCCTGTCTGCATTCCTGCCCAGCCTCTGGCAGCTGCTCTTGCAGAGGCAAACTCCTGGCATTGGTAGTGACTTGTCTGCTGTCAAGACCAACAGCTACTCCGGGGGTACCGTGGTTGTCTAGATGGATGGCCCCGCTGGAGGGTTGCTGACACGGTGGTGTACGCTGCAGGGCAAACACCTCAGAGCCTCCCTGCTCTTTCTTCCCATGCACATTCCCTGGTTAAAACACCTTTCCCACAAGTATATGCTCCGAACAAGGGCTTTTCAGAACTCAGGAGCTTGGGGAGTCTTAAGGTTTTAGGGTAGACAAAAAGTTACTTTACCCATGTGAGGCCTGATCGTGGCTGGAGCTTGTGGAAAGCAGATACAGCCAGCTTTGGGCTCTCGGTCCTTCGCAGACAGATCCATACCTCTAGGTCTTGTGCCAGCTCTCACCGGAAGGCACTCATCTTGGTATGCACTTCCCATTCGGTTCAGTGGTCCCTGGGCTTTGCTGGTCAGAGTACAAGTGGCCAGTAGTTAACTGCGATCTTTAGAGCAACTGAGAACTCCAGAATCTACACTGTGAATTCTGGTGGAGTCAGTCCATGCTATTTTGGAGCTATTTAAGGAATTTTTGACCTTAGTCTGTTTAAAAGCCAGTACATGGCACACACCAAATATTGGTTGAATTGAATTAATAAATGAACAACCACAACTTCTAGGGCTTCTTTAAGATGCTGATCATCCCAGCTGGAGCTCCACACTCTTTGGGAGAAAAGAGGAGGCTGGGCTTCTTAGTGGTTCAGGGGCTTTCCCTTGCACAGTTGACGGAATACATCTGAAGTAGACTTTATTGGAGAGGTAGGGCGGTATTTCATAGAGTCTGAAGGCAAGTGCAGCAGGTTCTCAAAAAAGTGTGGTCAGGAGCTATGAGCCATCAGAGAGAGCACCATTCCTTTCAGGAGTATCTCTAGGGAGAAGATCCTGAGCTCAACATCTTGGCTCCACTTGAGGAGAACAGGGAGAAAGGAGTTAGAGGGGTGTTTAAAGACCTGGATGTATTTCTTAGATTGGGACAAGACCCTGAGAATCACGAGTGAGCCACTGTAGAGCATATGCTTGGGGATAGGGTTAGAGTCTATACTGTTTTTTAACTCAAAATAAACCAAGTCCCTTTAAAAGAAAGAAGGGCAGGGGTGGGAGCCTGGAATGAATGCCTGAGAAGACCCTCCGCTTCTAGCAGGAGGGGACTAGCAAGGCAGAGTTGATTCCTAGGTTTTGAAGCGTGGGTCTTTCCTGAAGCCTGGCACTCCTGACCCCAGCTGTCCCAGGCTTTTGGATTCTATTTGGGTGTCTGTCATCCCTTTAGTTCTTTGCTCCTGATTGTCTTTGGTTACCTTCAGCCCATCCCTAGTATCCTGCTCTGGCTCCCTATGCCCAGTTGTTGGGGTGAGGGGTGGAAAGCAGAGGGTGAAGTCTCTTTTCCTTCATATTTTAGACCTTAGTAATTCTCACCTGTTGTTTCATTAAGAGATTCCAATTAGAGACCAAATGTTATTCATTAAGGTGATGGTGAAAAAGATTATGGAGAATTTTCATTTTCCTTAGCATATGAATATTTTATATTAGCATATATCACTTTTTTAAATCCTCACTGGACAACATACTTATTGATTTCCAGTGAGGGGGAGGGGAGGGAGAGAGAGGGAGAGAAACATTGATGTGAGAGAGAAATATGAATTGATTGCCTCTCTCATGTGTCCTGGCCAAGGATCGAACCCACAGCCTAGGTATGTGCCTTCACTGAGAATCGAATGCACAATCTTTCAGTTTATAGGATGATGCTCCAATGAACTGAACCACATTGGCCAGGGAAGCATATATTACTTTTATAAACACTTCAAGAAGGAAGAAAATCCTGATTACACAAAAATTTAGCTATGAGGATATTCACTGAAGTGTTGTTTAAAATAGTGAAAAAAGGAAACTGAAATATCCAATAATAAGAAAAAAGATGAAATAAATTATGTAATAGAAGACTATATAGTCATTAAAATGGTGCTCTAGACCTATATTCATTTATATGACAGGTGATTTTTACATATCAAATGGGAAAAAAGCAAGTTATAAAACAACATGTACCATATAATCACTTTTTTTATTTGTTTTAAAATTCTCTTCCAGTAGCACGATTTATCAAAAGCCTCCCATAGCAGAAAACTTAAATGCCATACTGTATGAAACACAACAAATAAATATTTAAAAAATTCCTTAGTGAGCTCTCCCAAAATAAAGGTAATCTCCCAAGAGCGTCCGCCTGAAACCAACAAAATAAAACAATACAAAACAAAAGGTAAAAAAAAATACAATAACAATTAAAAAAACCCCCAAAAGGTAGATAGCAAGTAAACAGAAAGGTCAACTACCTAGGAACTTAGAGCTTTGAGGACTGGGCGGGGATATGGAAGTTTGGAGGAGAACCAGGGAGGAAGTGCTAGGGGCTAGGAGGACTGAAGAGCTAAATGTGAGAGACACCCCTATTCCCCACCAAGCTCTCAAAGAGGCTACATTCTCAGTAGAAAGAATAAAGTCCACCTGCTTGCAGAGGGAGCGTACAAGGAAGCTTGTCTAGGCTGCAGCACTAGATGTTAAAATTAATAAAAACGTTAGTTTCCGTGTGAGACCCGCTCTCCGTCCCTTTGATCAAATAAACCATACACTGAAAAATTTAGGAGGCCCCAGATTATTAATGCTCCCTGGAGTGCAGGAGATGCAAACTGAATCCTTCTTAGAGGAAAGCAACCTCAATTCAGGCTTCTGGATTAAATTCAGCCAAATATAAACCTACCAAAAAAATCACTAAATATATAAGGATTCAAATCACTGTGAGGGTGAATAAATAGGAACGATAATCAAGAGGTTTAAATCTCTAAGGACTTCAGAGTATGGAATAATCAGATAATCTAAATAAACTATTGTGAAATGCTTAAAGAATAAATGATGGGGCAGAAAAACTGCATAGGGAACAAGAGTTTATTAAAAATACCCAGAAAGATTTAGGAAAAAAACACAACATCAAAACCCCCACAATTGTTTGTAAGCATTACAATTAAAACTGCAATCCTTGGTTAACAGAAGATTCAGCTAAAGAGAGAAATAATGTGCTAAAATGGATCTGAAGATATGCCCTAGAATGCAGCAAACAGAGACAAACAGATAAAAAAATTAAGAGGCAAAGACTCTGGAGATCCAACAACTATCAAATTGGATTCCTATGAGGGGAGAAGAGGAAAAAAATGGGAGCCAGACAATATGTGAAAAAAAAATTGCTGAGAATTTTCAAAATTTGATGAAATGCAAGAATCCACAAATATAGAAAGCACAATGTATACCAAGACGGATAAATATAAAGAAATCCACAGCTAGGTACATTTTAATAAAACTTCAGAACAATGAAGACAAAGAAACAACCTCAAAGGCTAGAGAGAACGGTTTATCTACAGAGGCACGCAACTAAACCAGGAACATATTTCTGAACAGTCATAGTGGAAACCAGAAGACACTGGAATGATTCAAAATGCCCCCCACAAAAAGGGAGGGGATCTGTAAACTAAGAATCATATACCCAGATAAATTTTTTCAAGTACAAAAGTTTAAAAAGGGACATTTTCAAATAAATAAAAACTCAGTTTATCACCAACAGAATCTTCCGTAAAGAAATTTCTAATGGATGTGCATCAAGAAAATCAAGAAAAATTACCAGAGATGTAACATGTGAAATGCAAGAAGAATAGCAGTTTTCCAATTAAATTCAACCTCAAAACCAATTAGCATCAGACTAGACCCATAGAAAAGAGAGGGGGTGGCTCACTGATTTTAAAAGGGGTCTGCTATCAGAAATTCCATCTCTGGGTATATACCCAAAGAAAGCAGGGACTCAAACAAAAATCCATACACCAATGTTTATAGAGCATTATTTGCAATGGCCAAAAGGTGGAAGAAATGCCAAATATGTGTATCAGAGGATGAATGGATATATACAAAATAGGGATGTGCGCGCACGCACGCACGCACGCGCACGCACACACACACACACACACACACACACACAATGGAAAGTTATTCAGCCTTAGAAAGGAATAAACTGACACATGCTACAATGTGGATGGATGAACTTTGAAGCTATTATGCTAAGTGAAGTAAGCCAGTCACATAAAGACAAATATTGCACGATTTCCTTTGTATATGAGGTATCTAGAATAATCAAATTCATAGAGACAGAAAGGAGAATGGTAGTTACTAGGGGTTAGGGAGAGGAGGGAAGGGAACATCAGTGTTTAACAGGTAAAGAGTTTCTGTTTGGGAAGACGAATGAGTTCTGGCAGTGGATGGTGGTGATGGTTACACAACAGTATGAGTGTACTTAATGTCACTAAACAGGCACGCCTGAAAGCGGTCAAATGTAGATTTTTATGTATATTTTACAACAACAACAACAACAAAAACTGTTAAAAATTCCATGTATGAGATACAGAGATGTGGAGATTTGTATTAATAAATATTTCTTTATTTGATTCAAACATTAAATTTTACTAGGAAAAAGAAAGTTCTATATATATATTTGGTAAAATATTTATTTTTGATTTTTACAAATATTTTGTTTATTTTAATGAAGCTGGTATAGACAATATCCATTTAAAACCCATATCCCAGACTAAAAAGTACAAATAAAATAAAAAAGCAGTGTTCTGTTGTACACACTTCTGCATGAATAACTTTATTAACTGCAAATGAAAATTAGAACTTTGCTGGGATCTTCTGACAAGATTTTTCTTTACTTTTAAAATGCTTTCTCTTCAGCGAAGCCATCTTTGGAGTTAGTCTTTACTCTCACCTTATCTGTCATCTTGATTCCAACCTGACATTCCTCTTCTTTTGGTCCAGACCTTCAGATTTTAAAAGTAGCTTCAAGTTAAGGAAAGGTCATTTTCCACAGTTTGGTTCTCTGAAAAACTTCCATCTCCCACTAAAAGTCATAGTCCAGGAGTGAAGCAATCACATGCTAGAACTTTGGGGCCAATTAGAAATGTCATTATGAACACTTGCATTGGTCGACCTCATTTATCGCAAGCCTGAAAATGCACAGTCCAGGAAAAGGTGGCCTCCCTGTACACACATGTAATATTTAAAAAGGAGAGGGCAGTATGAAGGGGGTTGAGGCTTGATCACCAAAAATCAGCCCAATGAAAACACAACAATAATAAATAGGCACTAGAATTCAAATTACCAGATGTTTTAAAGACATGGTGGGGGGGTTAGCTTTCAACTGAATTTTTAACACCACATTACAAAAGAACTATTTTTGAAAATAAAAAAGGACTGAGGGAAAAGAAAATAAAGTAAAAAGAATATCTAAAGCGCTGAATGACCCCCTGCCATTTGTTTCTGATAAACTTCAATCACATCTTCTTCCTCCATTCCCAGTTCTTTTGAATGTGATTATAAGCAATTCTCTGACCTTCAAAGAGAAACCTAAGTGAATTCGTCGGAACTCCCTTTGACAGCATGATTCTTTGAGTTTCTTGAGATATGTTGTCATTTTCACTTTGAAGTGAATCTCACTATCGTCCTGTCCAATGACTTTGAGTTTAATGTATTCTCCTTCCTTCTTATCACCTAAGTCCTCAGTTGAAGGTTTTGCCTCCTGGTCAGACATGGGGATGGCAGCTTCACCTGGGGTCTCCGTACAGCGGCAGTCTCCGATAGGCAGAACATTGCTCCGGGGTTTACAAATCCGTCTCTCCTATATTTGGTAAAATATTTAAATGAACAAACAGAAAAAAGTTTCAAATAATGGCTGCTAAGTTTACAAGTGATTTTATTTTCTTATATTTTATATTCATATTTTTTATCTTTATTTTCTAACTTCCCCAAAAACTTGATGAAAGTTTTGTAGCCTTCCCTTTTTCCCCAGGGCGTTACCATAGACGCAGCAGCTTCCCTGTCGCATCTACCACTATTCTAATGGGAAGTCTACTCCAGGCTCTTCCCTTTGGATTTCTTGCAGGCCTGCCGTCTTCACCTTTGATACTTGATTGGTTAGCCGTTGGTGGTCCAATGATGAGTAGAACTTTATTAGTCTTAGGAGAGATGATTTCAGTCATGAGCCAAGGTGCAAAGTTCACAGTGTGAACTTTGGGAAAAGTAAGGAGTGACCCCCTTTTTTCCCCTCATATGCATCATTATTATCATCATGTCATCAACAACGATAAAAGCTAGTCTTTTAACACTTGATAGTTCACAAAACACTTTCATGCTAAGTAATCATGAGCCTGTGAGGGTTGGACCAATTGTCAAGTTTTGCAGATGAAGAAATAAAAAGGCGTTGCATTTTGTCTGGATTTTGTCTGGATGTGAAAGACAAACTTGGAGTGGTAAGAAACTTTTTTACTGTGGTCGTACAAAACCCACCCACTGGCGCAAATCTGCTTTACTCATCAGGGAAACCCTTATCTCTACTCCCAGTTGTGGAAAAACAAACCCTGACCAGAAAAGGAAAGGGTGCAACTATGGGCAAAGGAACTGCCGCTTTTCAAGACTGTGCTCAACTTGGAATAGTCAAAAAACAAAACCCAGAGTTGGAGCAGAGAAGAGCCATGGGGAAGACATTCCACTGGGGAAGGGATCTGCGATATTGTGATTTATGATAAAACATAGATATTTGGTCTTACCCCGTTCCTGGCAACAGACCTTCTAACACCCTTGGAATTTCCTGTGATGAGGGGGTGGGGGAAGTATCTTTTTATGTTAATGAAGTGACTTTTGGAAAATGCTTAGGTAACCAAAGAATGGGACAGCTCGCCAGGGGAAACAACCCTGTGTTTGGAGAGTTGAAACTTTCAGTCCTACCCACTCCAAGGAGGGCAGAGGAGCTGGAGATTGAATCAACTGCCAAGGGCCAACTGTCGATCAACCATACCTATATAATGAAGCTTCCATAAAAACCCAAAAAGATGGGGTTCCGAGAGCTTCCGGGTTGATGAACAGGTAGGTGGAGGTGCTGGGGCGGTGACGCCTGAACACGGCATGGAAGCTCTAGCTCCTTTCCACATAGCTCCTTGCCCTATGCATCTCTTCCACCTGGCTATTCCTGAGTTATATCCTTTTATAATAAACTGGTAATCTAGTAAGTAAAATATTTCTCTCAGTCTGTGAACTACTCCAGCAAATTAATTGGACCCAGGGCAAAGATTGTGGGAACTTCCTATCTATAGTCAGTTGGTCGGAAGTACAGGTGACAATCTGGACTTATGATTGATATCTGAAGGTGGGTGTCAGTCTTGTAGGATTAAGCCCTTAACCTGTAGGATCTGATGCCACCTCCAGGTAGATAGGGTCAGAGTGAGGTGAATTGTCAGACACCCTGCTGGTGTTGGAGAATTTCTTGGTGTTGTGGGAACCATCCCCCCACCACGCTCATCCACTGGAATTGGGTTTAGAACTGTTAGGGTTCCCTGTTTGGGAGTCCCTTCCAGTGCCCAGGGCTTGCTCTTCCCCTTTAGCACCCCAAGCCTGCTAAAGACCCTTTTAACTTGTTTTTCCTTAGCAAAGCTGAAAGGCGGATGCTTTCACAGAGAAGCAGATGCCCCTAGGACCAGTGGCCCCAGCAAAATGGAGCCCTGCTTGTCATCTGTTTCTTTACGGAGCACATTTCGAAATGGTGCCCACTGGCAGAACTTAAGTTGCCTGTGGGCACACTCAAGGCAAGTGAGGCTGGGAAGGCTTTTCATTCTACCTTTGCACGATGGGACTAAAAAGATTTTGAACAGCTGTAAATGATAAGTATCTACACAGATACAACAAACCATTGTGTACCTTCTATCAATACGGAGCCCTTCTCTCTTCACTTTTTGTGTCTAGTTAATATGCTCTCCCAGCCTCTCTCCTCCCAGTGGGAAAGGCCACTGCTTCAAATGGATTCTCTAGCTGCAGAGCCTAACGGTCAAGTACAGGTTCTCAGGTCATGTGACCTGGGATTGAATTCTGGCTCTACAAATTACTAGCTGTTTGACATTTAGCAAGTTACTCAATCTCTCTGAGCTTCAGTTAATTATAAGTCAGTTAATTATTCCTGCTGGAATGGGTTGTTGTGAGGATGCAATGAAATAAGGCATGAAGGAACACAGAACATTTCCAGGCACATATCACGTGCTCAATGAAGGATAGGCATTAACACAATAACCACAATTGTGTTTCCAATCTGAAGAATATTTCTCTCACTTTAGTTGTAGAGCAGAGAAAAATGATTTATGCTGCTCAGTGAAATAGCGAGCTTTTCCTTCTGGTAAATTCCCAGCCCCACCCTTTCTCTCAGGGCCCCTTTAATGACTCACACCCTCAGGTATTCTCTCTCCCAGATAATATCCTGAGGCAGCAGTTGAGGAAGTCAATAGTGTCCCTGCCTGTGGTTTTGAGGAGAGAGAGCTTTAATCCAGGGTCTCTTTAGCATTTCCATTGAAACGCACTTGAGGTTGTCTGCTTGGCACAAAGGTGCTCAGTAAGATTGAGCAGATTACATTGTTAACACTAGCATGGGCTTTGGGCCCAAGGGCCCAAGTCAGCTGCTTTTGGTGCCCCATGCCACATGTCTGTCCTCAGGCTACTTTTGATTTGAACTGCAGCCGTGGTGGATGGTCCCATGGCCCCGCCGGTGTCCCAGGAAGAGGCTTGGTCTTGGGTTTTCTCTCTCAGTTGACAGAAGTGTGGCAAGAGGAGAGAAGAGCTAATGCTTTGAGTGCACCCCTCACCCAGTGGAGGACACGGGTCAGTGCCCCAGCCTCCTGATCTTCAGAGGGCCGATTCTAAGGCCCATTCCACAGGTCTGCAGAGAGGCTCTGGCTGGGCTGAGCTCCACATCAGTAGCTAGTTCTTGAACCATTTTATTGGCATTTTCTCCTTCTCCGACTTACAGTTTCTGCTTCCTCCCTCCTGATCCCTGGGACCACCCTCCAGGAAGTCTCAAGTTCTGGTCTTAAGTACCGTGTTCAGGGGAATACAATCCAAGTCCTCTGCTCTGTTTCCTCCTCATTGTTTCTCCTCTGAATGTCTTTGTGACTAGGACCCCTCCCTATCTGAAAGGAAAGAGGAAAGGAGGGGAAAGGAAGGGAACAAAAAAGAATATAGCTTCCTTGGAGATGGGGCATAATGTATTCTGGCATCTAAAATGGGCTAGGGACTCACTCATCTGTTATTTCACTAAAATTTTAGCAAAAAACTGGTGAGGCAGATTATTGTTAGCCCCATTTTATGGATGAAGAAACAAAGATTAATTAACCAGTCCAAGGTTATAAACAACTCTGTGGCAGAACAGGGTTTTAAACCCAGGTCTATGCTCTTTCAGCTACTTCCATTTATGGGTGAGGTTCTTTGAAAGAATCTAGAAGCAGGACTTGTTTTTTTTTAAATACCATACTTCAATTTATTGGCATTGCCAGTCTATAAACAAGACAGTGAGGTCATTTTCAATCTGCCATAATATGTGTCCACACATCTTCACCTTGAAAATGTAGCATTTCAAGCTTTAGTCAGGGTGTTTACTTTTCTTTCACTTTCACAATTTTTATGCTGCTGCCAGAAGTCTTCTTGATGTATGCTTTGAATTCTGTTTTCAGTGCATTTCTCAGTGCTTTGGCACAGATCTCAGAGTATGGGATGTAGCTAAGTCCATCCTGTCTCTAAAACACCACCAAGATGTTGGACGGAATCAAGAGGATGTGTAAAAGTCAGCTCAGTGCACGACCTGGGAAGCAGGATTTTTGAATCAAGTAAGACTATTAGTATTTTTTAATTAATACTTTAACAGCTTTATTGAAGTAGAGTTGACTTTCTATAAACTGTATGCATTTAAGGTGTACAATGTGATGAGTTTTGACACATGTATATACCTGTGAAACCATCACAGTTAAGATAGTGAACATATTTATCACGCCCGAAAATTCCCTTGTGCCCCTTTCCAATTCTTCCCTTCTGTCCTTCTGTGCCATTCCTCCTTCCCTGGCAACCACTCATCTCCTTTGTGTCACTTGAGATTAGTTTACATTTTCTATTTTATGTAAATGGAATCACATAGTTTATATTCTTTTTTTTGTCTGCCCTCTTTCACTCTACTTAATTTTTTTTGAGATTCACTGATATTGTGTGTGTCAATGGTTCATTTCTTTTTATTGCTGAATAATATTCCACTGTACCACAATTTCTTCATCCTTTCACCTGTTCATGGACAATAATTTTTGGCTATTACAAATAAAGCCCTGATGAATATTCATGTACAAGTCTTTATATGAGCCTAGGCTTTCAGTTCTCTTGGGTAAATATCTAGGAGTGGAATGGCTCAATCATGTGGTAGGTATATATCTAACTTTCGAAGAAACTGTTAAATGGTTTTCCAGAGTAGTTGTACCATTTTAAGTTCCCTCCAGAAATGTGAGAGTTCAAATTCTTTTATATCCTTTCCAACACTTGGTATGCTCAATACTAGCAGTTCTGATAGCTTCACATTGTGGTTTTAATTTCCGTTTCCATGATGACTAATGATGTTGAGCCTTTTTCATGTGCTCACTTGCTATCCACATCTTCTTAGATAACTGTCTGTTCAAATTTTTTGTCCATATTTTATTGAGTCATTTGTTTTCTTATTATTAAGTTTTAAAATTTCTTATATATTCTGTT